GGGCCAGGCCAAAACCAGGAGCTCCATCCCCATCTCCCACAGGGGTACCAGGGAACCAAGTACTTCAGCTCTCCTCTGCTTCCTTCCCAGGTGGGTTAGCAGGAAGCTAGATCAGAAGTAGAGAAGCCGGGACTGAAACTGGCACTCCAATATGGTATATGAATATGGTGTTGCAAGCTGTGACTTAACCTCCTGTGACACACTTCCAGCCCCCGTAAATTTAGCTTTTAATTCCCATGAACTTTTAAGTCCGTGAACTTTCTGAAGAACCCTCATAAAAGACTGGAAGCATATTAAAATCAGGAGAGGTAGGTCACATCTTTGGAAAGAATCAAGGAATGTTTAATTAAGGAAGTGTCATACATAGGAAGCGTAGTGTTTCTGGAACTGTGGTAAAGAGAAGCACTTTCTATCAAAGCCTAGAAACATGAACCAAAGCATTAAGGTGAGAAAATACAAGGCCTGTTGAGACAGTGAGTGTTTCAGATTGGCTGGGCCTAGCCTCACACCTGGAAGAATGGTCTAAGTAGACCAGTTTAATGATAGTTAATGGTTCTCAAGGCAAATCCTGGTTTCACCAGCTATTTACTACAATTCAGCATAATCCATGTCTCCCAGGCCCTGACAGTCAAAGGTAAATAGATTTCTAGTTGTCTGAAAGAAAATGTTAGTGGACACAAGGAGTCTGTTCCTTTGGGATGTTACTAAATAATCAACCTCAAACTGGAGATGTGCAGAGGAAAGTTTTATTTGTGATGAATATGACAACAGGAAGCTATAGTTCCCTGAAGAAACTGCCTCCCTGGGAAGTTTGCTGGAGCTTTTATAGTGAGGGTCAGAGGAGTCTGCAGGATGTGGGGACAGGAGCAGCAGGAGAGCCTTCCTGCTTGCGATACACATCTTTATTCCTTGTGTGCTCAAAAATCTGACTCAGACTGGTTTCCTGCAGCTTTCCTTGTTCATGGTGGTCTGGCCTCCTCTGAATACGATTGTGTAAGATAAGCTTTCCTGGAGCATCCACTGAAAAACAAGCCGTAGCAGTAAACCCAGTGCCCTACTCTTGCCTGAATCCTACACTCTTGGTTACAAAAGCAGGCAGAAATTCACCGTGAAAGCAAACTCACCCTTGAACTGATGTCAAGAGAGAATTTATTACTTGGACATTTAACAATATAATGTACCCTGCCACCAATAGCCAAAAATTCATGACTCTCATAGAACTTCTTTCAAGTCACTATTTCTTTCTTTATAAAAAAAGGATTTATTTTATATATTTGAAAGTCATAATTACACAAAGAAAGGAAAGGCAGAGAGAGAGAGAGAGAGAGAGAGAGAGGTCTTCTATCCACTGGTTCACTCCTCAATTGACCACAACTGTCCGAGCTGTGCTGATCCAAAGCCAGGAGCTAGGAGCTTCCTCTGGTCTTCCCATGTAGGTGCAGTGGCCCAAGGACTTGAGCCATCTTCTGCTGCTTTCACAGGCCATAGCAGAGAGCTGGATTAGAAATGGAGCAGCTGTAACTCGAACCAGTGCCCATATGGGATTCTGGCACTGCAGGCGGCGGCTTTACCCGCTACACCACAACGCCAGCCCAAGTCACTATTTCTCATGTTGATCTTGTTAAAAAATACATAAATATTAAGTCATTGCCCTGCAAAGTCATTTCTATAGAAAGCTAACATAATGTGATTAAAATGATTTGGTTTGTGTAAAGATTTTTAAATTATTTTAAAATATTTATTTATTTGAAAGTACCAGAGAGGGGGAAGAGACAAAAAGAGAAGGGAGAGAGATCTTCATTCTCTGGTCTACTTCCCAAATACTTGTAGCAGTCAGGGCTGGCCCAGGCAGAAGCTAGAAACCAAGAACTCCATCTGGGTCTCCCACATGAGTGGCAGGGCCCAAGCACATGTTGCCATCATCTGATCTGCTACTTTCCCAGGCAGAAGTAGCAGGAAGCTGGATTAGAAGAGAAGTAGCTGAGACTCAAACCAGCACTTGCAAATGGAATGCTGCCATTACAAGCAGCAGCTTAAATGATGCTCCACAATGACAGCCTAGTAAATTGCTTTTTAAATTGTGATAAAATAGGTATGAAATTTACCCTGTTAGCCATTTTAAAGTGTGCAGTTAGGTGGTATTAACTAGTCATACTGTTTTGCAACTGCCACCACTCTTTCCAGACCTCTTCATCATCTGAAACTGAAACTCTATACCCATTAAACATTAATTCTGCATCCTTCTCCCACCCCTGCCAGGCCCTGACAACCGCCACTCTGCTTTCTTGTCTCTGTGACTTTGACTACATAGTCAGATTTGACTCATGGAATCATACAGCATGTATCCTTTAAATCAGGCTTATTTCACTGAACCTAATGTCCTCAAGGTTCATCCACATTGTAGCATGTGTATGAATCTTCCTTTTTAAGGCTGCATCATTTCACTGAATATATGAGGCACGTTGTTTATCCATTCAGCTGTTGATGGACACCTGAGTTGTTTCCACCTTGTGACTCTTGTGAGTGACGCTGCTATGGACATTGGCACATACCAGACGTCTTTTATAAGCTTCTGAAGTAGCATCTCTTCCTTAGTACAACAAAAGATTGAGGAGAATTTAATGTAGGTAATTAATGCTGTGCACAGGAAACCCAAAATAACTGCAAAAGAAATCACAGAGCCTTGAGACATTATGCTAAGTGAAATAATTCAGAGAGAAGGAAAATACTGTATGATTCCACTTATATGGAATACCCAGAATAGTCAAATTCAAACAGAAAGTTGAATGATGGTTGCAGAGGCTGGGTGGAGTGAGAGGAAGGGGGTTTGTGTTTAATGGCTACAGAGTTTCAGTTTTGTAAAAGGAAAAATTGTTCTGAAAGTGGATGGTAATGATGGTTGCACAATGTGAATGTACTTAATGCTACACTTAAATATACAGTTAAAATGGTTAAAGTGGGGGCCAGCGCTGTGGCACAGCGGGTTAAAGCCTGAAGCGCTGGCATCCCATATGGGTGCTGGTTCAAGTCCTAGCTGCTCCACTTCTGATCCAGCTCTCTGCTATGGCTTGGGAAAGCAGTGGAAGATGGCCCATGTCCTTGGGCCCTTGCACCCGCATGGGAGACCCGGAAGAAGCTCCTGGTTCCTGGCTTTGGATCGGTGCAGGTCCGGCCATTGCAGCCTACTGGGGAGTGAACCAGCAGACAGAAGACTTCTCTCTCTGTTTTGACCTCTCTCTGTAACTCTTTCAAATAAATAAAATAAATCTTTAAAAAAATAAAAGAAAATGCTGTGATATAAATTCAGAGTGTGAAAGAGACAGGAGAGAAACAGAGAGAGCACTTCCATCTGCTGGTTCACTCCCCAAATGCCTATTACACCCAGGGCTGAAGCCAGGAGCCCACAACTTAATCCGGGTTTCCTATGTGGGTAGCAGGGATCCAAGTACTTGATCCATCTTCTGGCACCTCCCAGGCAAATTCTCAGAAAGATGGATTGAACATGAGGCAGAGGGAGGACTTGATGCCAAGCACTCCACTAAGGATATGGTATATCCCAGGCAGCAGCTAAACCCACTCTACCACAACAGCTGGCCTGTGTGCTGTACTTTCATAAGAGTGGCAGTGCACTAGGTTTGTTTATACGGCCATCACCACAAATGGATATTGTGTTGCACTACAACATTATGACAGATACAATGTTACTAGAAGATAACAATTTTTTGCCTCCATTGTAATCTTATGTAATATTATGGGACCAGGATCGTATATTTGGTCCATCATTGGTAAATGTCATTATGAAGTGTGTGGAAATCTTTATAAAATATTTAGGAGAAACATTTAATAAAATATAAATATGTACTTTATAGTCTCCAATAAAATACAAAAATATTAGAGTACACATTCTCTTCTACCTGTTATTTTTCTTATAAAAGCTTATCTCAGGGGCATGTGTTGTGGCACAGATTTATATATCTGCACAAGGAATAATAAGGCAAATACAGGTGGGCCCTAATCCCACACAAAATATCCCAGAGAATATGGGCCTTTGAAATGGAATTACCCAGGGGTTCTCACTTCTCATTGAGATCACTTGGAATAGGTTTGTGTGTGTGTGTGTGTGTGTGTGTGTTTAAAAAAAAAAAAAGAAAAAGAAAACTAATGCTCAGGCCCCAGTCCTTTCAAATGAAATCAGAATCACTACAGTGATGCCAGGCGATCCTAATGAGCCGAAACCTCCAGCACAATCCCTAAGTGAGAACCCGGGAAAAACAGTTCTGAGGATGGCTGCCCCAAATGAGTTTTATTTGGGGGTCACAAGAAAGAGAACTCGTGTACTTAAGTTGTTAACAATGCTTCAGACAGAAAAATGGCACCTGCAAAACGAGTCGTTTGTTTACTCACAAAAGCTGCTTGGACTAAAGGTAATTTTATTAAAAATGTATCTCTTTGCATAAGAATCAAATTCATAATCCTACTCTAAATTAGGTCAAGCTGTCACCCAAAATTGTGGGCCTGCTTCCCAGAGTTCAATCAAGAAACACACCAGAAGGAGTCGTCACACCAAACAATTTAGTGCAGCAAATTAGGAAACCATAGGGAATTATTCCTAAAGCTGTGTCTCCACAAGCCGGTGAAAACAGGTTATCTTTTGTCTTAGGGGAAAATGAATACCTCTTACGTAGTATTCTTGTTTGCACATGCAGGATGGATACAAGTCCACACAAGAACAGTTCGGAAATATGCTTCAACATAGGTTGCATGAGATGGTAACGAGGCTTAAGCACCTCCTGCGGTGGAGAGCTTAGTGTTAAAATGAAGCAAAGTGGTGTCCTATGGATACTTTTTGACCCACTTGCCCAGGCGTCGTCGCTTTTGCAGTAGGGTCTGGGACAATCTAGGGTGACAGGTGATTGCACCCCTCCCTGGAATGTGAGTGAAAACCTGAAAGACAACTCAGAATAGCACCAGGTGTTTAAAGGGTCTGGAACTAAGAATCACAGTAAACACTCTCCGACACGTCTTCCATCTACCGAAGGGAATGATTTTAAATTCTTCGTTATTCCCTGCCCCCAAAACAAAACTGGGGCGTCAGCTTTCTTCATACGTGCGCAAGTGCCCATGGGCTCGACTCCTAAAGATGGAAACGCCGCGAGTACTTTTGTTTTTCATTCTGTGGGTGCCGGAGATTGACAGCAGCTGCGTCGGGAGACCAACCAGCCCCCCGCCCGCGACCGGCCAGACAGGACAGGCTCTCCCGTAGTTCTTGACAGTTGCCTTCCTCTTATAGCGGACGCTGAATTTGTCTTTCACCTCGCAGATGCAACAGATTCTAGTACCGAAGCCAGGTGTACAACCACTCAGCATTAATAGCCACTGCGACCAATAAATTTCCAAGCGAAAATCTCCGGCCCCTTCGGGTCGTGACGCCTGCTTCCGGGAAGCAGACCGGAAGCCGCTCTCGAGTCTGCGTCAAACGCGACTTCAGGGGCCGTCGCAAAAGTGTCGCCCTCCGCCTCTCGGACGGGCCACAGGTTTCCACTCGCCTCCGGCCGGGGGTCGAGCACTGCGGGAGTCAGTTTCCCTCAAGATGGCGGACGAAGAGGCTGGGGGTGCGGAGAGGATGGAAGTCAGCCCCGAGTTGCCCCAGACCCCTCAGCGACTGGCATGTGTAAGTGCCTGTAGACAAGTTCCTTTTGTCCTCCCCCCAGTCCCTCCCTACCGCGCTCAGGAGGATGTGGGGCTTCACCTCTTATGGCGGCTCTGGGGAGGGGGAGTCCTATGGATTGATCTGGAAGGAAGCTGCCGAATAAAAAGTTAGTCGTCACCCACATTTCCTGCCAGTCAAGCCTCCGGCATATAATGACTTTGCCGTTTATTAGTCTCGACGGGCTCAAGCATGCATGTCTGTATCCTGAAGAACTGGTGATGTTCTTCTATGGTTTCATGTAGGGGGCTAAGGAGGGATTGGAGAGAGCCATTTTCCGGTAGACGCCGCGCTAGCCCCTCTTGATGCTAGGAATCCAGGACGCAGCCCCCGCTGCAGAGTGGTATGTTGCCCAGCCGGCCGGAACCTGATAGTGCAAGGGAAGGCGGCCACTGTCAAGTCATAGTCAGGTGTGGGGTGTAGGAATTGTTGTGCCTCATTGTAGCCTCTTGAGAACCCCAGGCTTATTCCTCTGTGGAGAAACCTGCCGTATGTTGCTGCTTTTTTACAGCTGTGGAAGGGACTCGTAGCTATTTCAAGTCAGAGTAATACGGTTTGCTCCTGCATTTTGAAAGACTCGGAAGGCAGAGATAGTGAGCAAATGTGAGGCAATAGTCTGACTCCAAGAGAAAGCGGACTATGGAGGGTAAGAAGTAGGGTACTGTGTTAGGGGAGTGTTCTAAGTGCCTCTGGGCATCTGGTGGAGAGCTGTGTAGGAAATATGCAAATGTCTGTCACAGCTGCATATAGAAAAGTGTGAGGTGCACCCCTCTTTCAGAAGTTCCTTTGGTTTATAGTGTTCATAAAAGCATTCTTGAAGTACTTTAACCCTGTGAACACTTCAGCATTGTTTATGAGCTACAGAAATGAGTCAACCCCAGGGACTGGAGAGACTGGCTGGGAGATAGAAACCAGGTAGGGAGGGAGTTGGACTAAGGGTTTGACCACCGACTAGGCCATCGTTTGGCAATCTTTCTCCATCCCAAATAGTAATTCAAACTCACTTCATTGTTGGAATTGAAGGAAGATACTTGTATGACTATCTGACATGACAAGGCATAATGGAAAGATAGAACAAATTTAGAGCTGGTTTTAGTTTATAGCAAGTTTAGAACCAGCTCATTTTAATGGTAGCTTGTGCTTTTTTCATGTTAAAAGGAATGGAACAGGGCTGGCATTGTGGTGAGGTGCATGAGGCCCCTGCTTGTGGTGCTGGCATCCCAAATGAGTGCTGGGTCATGCCCTGGCTGCTCCATTTCTGATCCAGGCTAATGGCCTGGGAAAGCATCAGAAGATGGCCCAAGTACCTGGGCCCCTGACACCCACATGGGAGACCTTGATGAAGTTTCCAGAGCTCCTGGCCATTGCAGCCATTTAGGGAGTGAACCAGCAGATGGGAGATTAATCTCTCTATCTCTGTAACTTGGACTTTCAGATAAATAAATCTTTAGAAGGAAATTGTGTATGATAGTCAGAAAAGTTGTTTTAGTTTTGTGTTGCCAAAGATGACTGATATTTATTTAAAGCTTCAGTGTGTTCTTTCCAGATGGTGTAGTAAAACTTCTTTATTCTGGACTCTACTAATTGGGAATTGGGAATTGGAAATAATGGTATAGGAATTTCAGGAGATATTTCAATTTGAATATCTCTGATCTGAAAACTAAAATCTTAAATGCTTTACAATCTAATTCTTTTGAGCACTGACATGATAACATAGGTGGAAAATTTCACACCTGACCTCATGTGTTGGGGCACAGTCCAATACAAGTATACTAAACATATTGTATAAAATTACTTTTCAGGCTATGTGTGTCATATATATATGGAACATAAATGAATTTCATGTTTTGGCTTGGGTCCTGTCCCCAAGATATATCTTGATATATGTGCAAATGTTCCAGAATCCAAAAGTCTGAAATTTGAAAAACTTCTTGTTCTGCGCATTTTGAATAAGGGATACATGACCTGTATTAGGTTTCTTCGGGCAAAGTTTTTGGATTTTGCAAAGTAGTAGGCTGATGGTGTAATACAGCCTCAGGGAAACCACATTCTAATGACACAGGTAATAGTAGGGCTCAAAGAATTTTTTTTAAAGAATTTATGTATTTGAAAGACAGAGTGACAGAGGGAGAGACTAAGAGATCTCCTAAGGGTTGATTCATTCCCTAAATGATCACAACAGGCAGTGCAGGGCCAGGCTGAAGCCAGGAGCCAGGAACTCCCATCTAGGTTTCTGGCATGGGCGACAGGGGCCCAAATACTTGGACCATCTTCCGTTTCTTTGCTAAGAGCATTAGCAGGGAGCTGGATTGGAAGTGGAGCAGCCCTGGCTCAAACTGGCAGTTTATATGCGATACCCATACCCCAAGCAGCCATGTAACCACTGTGCAGAGCACTGACCTCTAGTGCCCTAAGAAGTTTAACTCAAGATAGGGTCATGTAAGTGTGTAACTGTTAAACCTCATGACCACTCTTGATTTGAATCTATCTATTGGAGGGCCCCAGAGATCATCCTACCTTCTTTTTCTTTTTAAAGCTACCGTCTTCAATTTTATTCTGGCAGTGGAGTAAAATACTAGTTTCCCAGTTTGCTACTTCTTTGCTATTAAACAAAAAGTTCAGGTTTTTTCTTCCATTTGAATGATTCTTATATTTTAAAAAAGGTTTATTTTATTTATTTGAAAGGCAGAGTTACACACAGAGAGAGGTCTTCCATATGCTGATTCACTCACCAAATGGCCACAATGGTCCAGACTGAAGCCAGGACCCAGGAGCTTCTTCTAGGTCTCCCACATGAATACAGGGGCCCAAGCACATTTGACATCTTCCTCTGCTCTCCTAGGTACATTAACTGGGAGTTGGATTGGAAGTGGAGTAGCCAAGGCCCAAACTGGTGTTTATATGGGATGCCAGTGCTGCAAGCAGTGGCTTAATGCACTACACCACAGTGCCAACCCTGAATGATGCACATTTTAAATCAGTATTGGAGGCAGAGGAAACAAAAATAATAAATAAGGAATAGTTATGGAGGTTTGAGGGGTCTTACCAGTCCCATTAGAGTTCTTGGTTATAGTTTTTTATTTCCTTCGATCAGATTTGCATCTTGGATCTAAGATATTTTTCAGTCATACTGCTGTCAGTAACTTTGAAGACTGTCATATCCCTAATACCACTAACATGCAACAAGGTATAATAATAATAATGGGTATAAATAATTGGATATTTATAAAAGCTGTTGCTTAAGAATAATCAAGGGAAATCTGTAGCTTTGGAATGAAGTCCACAGATCTGTGTCTTTGCATCATGCCCTGCTGATTCTGAAATTCTGATCCATAGGACACACTTTGAATAAAATTTAGGTAGATATTTGGAAGTTATCAGTATAGAATTGACGGTTGAGTTTGTGGGAATGGATAAGATCTTTGAGGAAGAAAATGTATGTATCACACACACAAACACACAGAATGAGGAAGTGGACTGAAATGATTGAATTTCAAGGTTAGAAAATAGAGGAAGACTAGTTAAGAACCTTTGGAAATGGAACAACCAAGCAGGTGGGAGGTGAGAGTAGTGCAATATCATGGCGAGTAGTTTTGAAGAGAGGGTATTTTATTGGGTCCGTGGGGATGAGGGTGGGACAGTCTGCAAATCTAAGGATATGTGGGGGTGATCTGCCAGATCTGCATTCTTTGACTGTATTTTCTTCCTTAAGTCTGTCTTAGAGGTTGTCCCTTAGCATGGTGCTAAGCTTTTCTCTTTTGCTTGACTATACCTTCTCTCTAGGTGATTTCATCCAGCAGCTTTAAATACCAGCTGGATGTCTTAACTTCTAAAATTTGTATCTTGGGCCGGCTGCATGGCTCACTTAGTTAATCCTCCACCTGCAGTGCCGGCATCCCATATGGACCCTGGGTTCTAGTCCCAGTTATTCCTCTTCCAGTACAGCTCTCTGCTGTGGCCCAGGAGGGCAGTGGAGGATGGCCCAAGTGCTTGGGCCCCTGCACCCTCATGGGAGACCAGCAGGAAGCTCCTGGCTTCGGATCGGTGCATCACTGGTCATAGTGGCCATTTGGGGCATGAACCAACAGAAGGAAGACCTTTCTCTGTCTCTTTCTCTCACTGTCTATAACTCTGTCAAATAAAAAAAAAATTTTTTTTTTTTGTATCTTTGGGTCATCTCACTTTTGAGCTCTGGAATCAAATCCAGCTGCTTACTCGACATTTGCACTTGGTTGTCTGATTTTTTGAATGGGAGAGCAATTTGGAAGTAACTGCGGAAACCTAAGCCATGGGGTCGGCACTGTGGCGTAGCGAGTTAACACCCTGGCCTGAAGTGCCGGCATCCCATATGGGCGCCGGTTCTAGTCCCGGCTGCTCCTCTTCCAATCCAGCTCTCTGCTATGGCCTGGGAAAGCAGTAGAGGATGGCCCAAGTGGTTGGGCCCCTGCACCCGTGTGGGAGATCTGGAAGAGGCTGAAGAGGCTCCTGGCTTCGGATTGGCGCAGCTCCAGCCGTTGCGACCAATTGGGGAGTGAACCATCGGATGGAAGACCTCTCTCTCTCTCTCTGTCTCTGTCTCTGCCTCTCCTCTCTCTATGTAACTCTGACTTTCAAATTAATAAATAAATCTTAAAAAAAAAAAAAAAAACCTAAGTCATGGATCATTGTAGCTTGTATTAGAGAGATTATCACTGAAGATGGAGAGAAGTGGATGAATTTGAGAGAGTTTTGGAAGTTGATAAAAGAGAGACTTGCCGATGCATCAAGTATGAGGAAGAGGGGAACAAACATGATATTTAGGTTCCCAGTTTTTGGCTTAAGCATTCTTGATAGTGATTGTGCCGTAAACTGAGAGGAAGGATCATGTTCTAGGAGGGAAAGGAGGAGGGCACATCAAGAGTTTGTTATCCCTGTCTTAGTAGATGACCTCCATAATAGCTCTTGAATGCAAGCAACTTTTCTTG